TGGGACTACAGGCGCCTGCCACAACGCCTGGCTATTTTTTTGTTGCAGTTTGGCCGGGGCCAGGTTTGAACCCACCACCCTCAGTATATGGGGCCAGCACCCTACTCACTGAGCCACAGGCACCATCCCAAAATTTTTTTCCTTTCTTTTTTTTCCTACATCTTTAATATTGAGATCTGAGGGAAAACATCTAAAATTTACTAAAGAAACGATCTGTATTTTAATTATCCCTGAAATACAGATAAATTTGTTAATTTTTTTTTATCCTCTAACAGGTGTATAAATTATTGCTGAGCCAGCAACTATGTCTTACATATCTCAAAATTCTTTTTACTACATCTCATGCTGCCAGTATATAATGCTAAGTGGATAATTGGATGAGTGTGTGAATATGTGAACAAGAAATAAAAAATATCTGTAGCTAGAAAAGAAAAACCTATCTTCAGATAATTTCTTCTATTTGAGAAATCTGAATTAGTCTTTCTGTTATAAATTGCTCAACCCTGGGTAAAAGCGGGAGCCCATCTCTACTAAAAGTAGAAAAATTAGCCAGGCATTGTGGTGTGCTTCTATAGTCCCAGCTATGTGGGGGGCTGAGGCAGGAGAATTGCTTGAGTCCAGGAGTTTGAGGTTGCAGTGAGCTATGATTACACCACTGTACTTTAGCCTGGGCAACAGAGTAAGATCCTGTCTCAACCCCCATCCCCCCAAAATATGGCTAATGTAAGGCCTGCTTGAGAAATATGGAATAGCATGAAATTACCAAGTAAAGAGAGGAAAATATGTAACTAGCATGTAACTATGTAACTATTAATAGCATTTGGAGTGTGAATCTGACTGGCCTTTGCAGGGTTTTCTGAATATGTGCAGAAGACCCTGTACAGGACCATTGAGTGAGCAGTGTCAAACCCACACTTTTGGGCACAAGACCCTTCTGCCCCCAGACCCCCCTCCGGGAGATAAGAATAACAACAACCTGCCATGACAGAACATAGGTCAGTGCTGAGCACTCACTGCTGCCATGTTCCAAGGAGGGGTGGGATTTGGGCTGGGGTACAGGAAAGGAAGAACCCAGCAGGGAAATAAGATTGGCCTGGACTTCAAGGGCTAGATAGGAACTCTAGTAGAGTGGAAGGAAGGAGAGAGGAGAGGGAGAGGACTGGTGTACCCAGGTCCAATGGGATCACAAATGCTGGACATGAGAACGACTGCATTTTTTAGGTCTTTCTTATACCCCAGACAGCACTGAGAACTCGGTAAGTGCTCTACACACTGACTTATAGTTTCAAGTGACAATTCTTCTGCAAAACATCAAATTTATCACTTAGGGCCATCACATCCTAGCATTGTTTTTGTTTCTTTTCAGTTCCAGCTGCGGTTACATTGTAAATGAAGCATCTAACACTTGTACAACTTGCAACAAAGATTCAGCAAAATTTAAGTCTGTTTTTCTCAGCTTTGACATGCTAATTGATCTTACTGATCACACAGGTACCCTTAATTCCTGTAGTCTCACAGGAAGTGTTGCTGAGGAGACGTTGGGCTGCACGGTAAATAGCAAAGAGGAAAAAATGTTTAGAAGTATTTCCAAATTGAATGCTCTTCTCCCCAATATAGGTTATTTTGGTGAACTTTTGATAGAAATTAATTCATTAATAAATATGTTCTGGAAAAAAATCTTGATTTAAACACACATTGTTTTAGTGAATAAATGTTACCTATTTTATATTAAAATCCTAGCTAATTACTATTATGAATAATGACTGAGGACTTTAGCCAAAATGGAGTACTATATAAATGTGACTACTTTATATAGTCAAGTAACAATGGTAAAACAAGTTGGAGACATTAATCAGTCATGAGGTGGCTCATCTAGAAGGATTGTTTGGTGACATTTTACTTACCCAGCTGTATAAAATCAGCATGAGTTTTCTCCCAGTTTTAACAGCTATGGAACAGAAGTAGATACTTAGGGATTAGCACATACATTTGGTGATAGGCACTCATTTTTTATTATTAAAACCAACTTGCCGCTTGGTACCTGTTGCTCAA